GACCTTTTATTTTAGTCTCCATGGCAACAAATAAAACAGATAATCCGCCTCGTACATGTCCCCAAAAGCCAAGACCTCTTGACAGCATTTTGGCAGCACATGTGTATAAATGTTAACGTTTTACACTGAGCCCAAACTTAATGAGCAAAAGAGGAGCTGATAAGAGATCTAAGGAGCCCTGCTGCGTGAACCAGTGTGGCCAGTTAATTGAACCAGTGACCTTTTTAAATCTTGTCTTAGGGGTGGCTTGCTCTGCTGTCGTCTGGTGACTCAGGGATGGCTGGTTGGACTCCAAGACTGATTAATATGGAGCTCAGGGGGTCAGTTACATGGGTGACAATGGAAAGCAGTCAAAGGACATGAACCATGTAGGGGACTGCCACGTGAAAGTGAAAGTGACTCAACACTTAACTCAATTTACACTTGCTGTTCTGTGTGCTAGCTGCAGCTGTTGCTTTGTATCGACAACTTGTAATGTGACTTCACTTGTGGCACAAGCTTTGCCATTTTTCTTCTCTGTATGTAATGGTAGATTGCACACCTCCTTATGTGTTTGAATATCTTTACTAGGGCTCACACGATATCAGATTTTTGCCTCAAAATCATCATGGCCAGAAGATATCACAAAATATAACAACATTACTGCCAAATTTATGGAAAAGTAATTATTTTATTGGACCAATTATCTCCCTGATTAGATATTCTTTGTGGTGCATGTATCAAGTTTGCAGCATTATTTCAGTGGGCATGCAGTCCAAACAGAAGTAATAGCTCTATTTGTGTGATACACACACTGAAAATATGGATTACCAGCTGCATTTCAATTCCAATTCATGCCCTTTTGAACTTTGTCTCAGCACATGGGAGCCAGAAGGTAAACACACCTGATTGTGAAAGAAAAGCCAGTTACTTGTTACAGTAAACAACAGAGACACTGTGTGAATGTAAACAGGAAGAGAAAATCACAGTACCAAGAGGATCAAGAACAACCCTCTACAAACAAAATTTGTTTGGATAAAATAAATAAATTAATCTCAGTGGCTTATAAAAGGCAAAATAGGAAAATATTGACCTGCAGAATGTGTAAATTACACACGCCGGCATCTAATTCATCCCACAAACCCTTCTGTGTATGTCTCTGCGTGTGCTCTCTGTGTGTGTGCGACTACCACGGTGTGATTCTTATTAAGGGTCTGACACACACACACACTCTTTCTCACACCGACTTTTAGCTGTAATTCCTGCTGTGGTTGTTTATATTACCAACAAATGAAGAATATGGTCCACAAATTCCCAAACTACCATCATATCACACCTTTACATGACAATTGTTGTGTCCACGTCTCCCTATATGACGCCATCAACCAATGAGATGGATCTTGATGTAATTCAAGTGCAGCGCATACACACACACATACACACACTCTCACACCTCCCCCTCCCCCTGCTCTCTGTCTCCCTCAGTGTGACAGAATTAGCAGTCCAGATCTCCTGCTGCTCATGTAATGAGGCATCCACGCCGGCTTGTATACAGCTTGACATGCCTGTGAGAGGAGGCAGCCTCTTAAGCCCTCTTACCTAAAGAGAGCCTCATATCCACGGCACTCATGACCCGGCCTCTTCATCGCACTTAAAATGATGAGGGGAGAGATGAAAGGGGTGTGTGAAAGGTACAAAAGAAAGGCCAGCACTTACACAGGAACAGATACACTGATATTCAGAGTGTTTTCAAGGCATCAGTTATAGAACATGTAAAGAGGAAGAAAGAGGGTACGGGGGCCATGATTGGAGTCTTGTGCTTTGGTTAAAGGCTCTAATATACCCTAGTTCATTTACATACGACTTTTTCTCAGTGTTTATTTAGACTGTCTTTGAAACATATCTCTCTGACTCTTCCTTCTGTATTTGTCAAGTACTCACGTCTCATTTCCACTTACGTATGTGACTTGTGTCCATAGTGACATAAATAAACAGATGATACCTCTTGATCTCAAAGTAAGAAAATGTACTTCTTAAAGTTCCTGTGAGAAACTTGTGGTTCGTGTCAATTTGGCGCCCCCTGTGGACAAAGTAATCTTTGCTTACCTTGTCCTCTACATGCTTAGGTAGTGTCTTTAGACAAAAAAATCATCTCATCCTGTTGCCTTTTGACTTCTTTGTCTGACTTCACATAAAGTTATTTAACTGATATATCAAGAAAAGTTTGCAAACTTTTTGACCTTTGTGATGTTTCTTTCCAGATACGGCAGGAAATTTCAGCAAATTTCAGGAAAAGTCATTCACTTCTGCCAAGGTTTTAAGATTTATATCGCAGTTAAGGTGCGTTCCACTTACCTTGAAGTCGGAAGTCAAAGCTGGGAATGACGTCACACCCACGTTATCAGCGTGTCAGTTACAGGTTCATGAAAAAGTAGCAAACAGCCAAAAACCAAATTGGAAACAAGATGGATACACCTACGAAAGTTACTCTCGCGCTTGCCTTATCTGTACATAAGCAACTTCTGGATAAATATGTGGTCCCTCTGCAACCTGCAAACATGATGGATTAAAGAAGAAACACAAAGGCGCAGAAGGTAGCCTATTTTTTCTCATTACAGTAGCTCCTACTTACTGCTTACAAACATCGCCGCCATCTTTGAATGTCAACTCTGGGGGTTGTGTGGGTTCATCCGACTCTTCAAATTGGAAATCCGACCTCGGGGGTCATTCCAGTTAAAGGTTCTGACTCGGAGATCAGAAAGTCCGACTTCCGAGTACAACTGGAACACATCATTAACTTCTGTATTGTGCAAAGCAGAAACGGATCATGTGACAGCAGTGAGCTAGCTCAGGCAGGCAACTCATGCTCAACTGATTTCACATTTGACACTCTCACAGTTCTCACAACCAACTACAAACCAACCCTTCTAATTTGGCTGTCAATCAAGATTTTGGTCCCTCTCTCTGCTCTACCAATGCCACTGCTGCCCTCCACCTACCCTGTACTTTCCTTGAACCTGCCTTGCTTTAACTTTCAGCCCCAACAGTCCGGCATCCACCTACAAAGTCCGACTGGAGGGTTTCAGGTATTACCTCATCACTCCTCAATTTCTGCGCGTTGAAAATAAAGATTCATAGAGTTGTTTCAGGATAAAAAATCGCAAATGCTCAGCACAGAAAAAACACAAACATAAACACAAACCCCAGCCAGTCAGAACTATACTTAAATTACATTACTCAGTATGTTTTTCTGTGTATTTTGCAAACTTGGAATATAGATTAGTACCAACTGGCTCCGGATGAATGAGCCATTGGGATTAAGTTTTCTTTTTTTCCCCCTTTGACTTAAATTAAATATATGTGGAAGTAATAGAACATCAGTCAAGTGCTTTATTGGTCAAGGTAAAAAAGTGCTATGGAAGCGCACAGTGTGTTTACCATCAGAAAATACTAAGACTTATTTCACCAATATTAAGGGATCACTCTGGTCATCTGGTTTTGCTGTAAAGACTGATGAGTACATTTCCATGACAGTTATATAAAGCCAGACTGTCAAGTATATCTGGAAGAATAAGGGTTAATGAAAAAAAATCTTGATTAGTACAAATGGAAAGGGGGCTAAAACAACTACAACTGTGCTGTCTGGGAAAAGAAAAGTAGACGGAAGAAGTGTGAAGCCAAGAGTCAGAAGGAGAAAAAAAATCTGAGAACGTCCTGTGGAGACATTTCCTCTTTGGTAATCTGAGAAATACAGAAAGAGCCCCTTTCAATTCTGTGAAAATGTACAGAGTGAGTCAGTTACTGTGACTTTTTATAAATATATTTCATAAACACAGATGGCCAATAAGCAAAAATAAGGGAATATTCTAGGATGTGTCATCACTTTGATAATAGTTCATTTCGACTTCACTTTCATGCCAATAATCATTTGGTCACAGTGGATACCATGTGTGTATTTATTTTATTTTTTTTAAACATAATGAACAATTTAAAGACTAGGGCCCCGTTGGGGCACTGGCGGGCCCGAGCCGTGTCGCGCTGCCCCCCCCAACGCGCTGCCTCCCCGTCCTATTCGCGTCCTCTGGCCATCGTCCTCTCTGGTAACGCCCATCACTGCAAAGACCCTTTCCTTCATCGGCGTTTGCTGTTCTTCCTGCCAGTGCGTGTTGCTTTCACTTACACTTGCCACAGCCAGCCTCGTGAGTGCCTAGCCTATTGGATATCACTGTCATCTACACAGGACAGTCATAACCTTTCTATTAATACTTTGTTTTTTAATTTCACATTAATTTCCATATTGTATAAATGACTGGAAAAAACTTGAGCCCCTGCCCCTGTATAATCATGTGCACGTCCCTGTTCTAGCTCCAAGGTGAATCTTCACTGCTCATGTTCTCCTCAGAAATAGTCACCTCACTCCCCTCAGGTTACTGTACACATGCACCAACTATCTGCTTCAGGTTTGGATGGAGCTTCATGGTTGTCTTTTGGAGAAATGAACAGTCAAGTTGTGTTTGAAATTTGATTTTTTTCAGGGGCAAAAGGAAGCCTCTGCATTCTTGTCAAATATGTAAACAGCATGTTTTTGCAGGTGCTAAAAAACAGACTCTGAGTGTGTGTGTGTGTGTGTGTGTGTGTGTGTGTGTGTGTGTGTGTGTGTTGGCGTGTGTGTGTTGGCGTGTGTGTATATGTGTGTGTATCCTGCAGTACTCTGTACTCCTGCAGTGGCCAAAAAGACTTTTAAGAATGTGGATTTTTGGGTCATCTTTGGCGCCCCCTAGAACTGCAGTACTCTGTACTCCTGCAGTGGCCAAAATGACTTTTAAGAATGTGGATTTTTGGGTCATCTTTGGCGCCCCCTAGAACGTAAACCGTGGGGTGCAGCGTCATGATTTTTACAACTTTGAATGGGCATGGGGTGTAGATTGCCCTGAGCAAATTTGGTATCAGTGGGACGAAAGCCTTAGGAGGAGATAGCCACATTCCAATGTGTGCGAATCGGCAAAAAATGCAAAATAGCCCTTTAACCGTACATTATACAGATACGCGCTCTTTGACTTTTTCGTAGATCTAATTGAGATACACATGATTGTCAATTTTTGTGTCAATATGACAAAGCGTTCAGGTGTGACACTCAACAATGTGTATTTTCATGTAAGGGGACAAGAAAAAATTGGTTTTTTTCTCCTGCCATGGGGGGGCGCTCTTTTGGGGAGTAAAAATTCCTTCACAAATGTGTTGATGGCTGGACATTGCATCATCCTAGAAAACTTGGAGGGCAGTGAGGACAAAAATAAAAAGTTATAAGACTTTTAAGAATTTGGATTTTTGGGTTATCTTTGGCGCCCCCTAGAACCTAAACCGTGGGGTGCAGCGTCATGATTTGTACAACTTTTAATGGCCATGGGGTGTAGACTGGCCTGAGCAAATGTGGTGCCGGTGGAACGAAAGCCTTCGGAGGAGTTAGCGAAATTCCAATGTGTGCGGATCGGCAAAAAATGCGAAATAACCCTTTAACCGTACATTTGACAGATACGCCCGCACTGACTTTTTTGTAGATCTTATTGAGATACATATGTGTGTCAATTTTTGTGTCAATATGACAAAACGTAAAGACGTGACAGTCAATAGTGTGAATTTCCACCTTAGGGGGCGCTATGGAGCCATTTTGCATTTTTATTGTTTGGGCGACTTCAGAATATCGAATTTTTCACCAGGCCCGGTCGTCCTGCCAAATTTCATGAGTTTTCGCCAGTGGGAAGTGGGCCATTTTCCAGTTTAAAGCGGAGGAAAAATAATAACTAGGGCCCCGGTGGGGCACTGGCGGGCCCGAGCCGTGTCGCGCCGCCCCCAGCGCGACCGCCTCCCCCTCCCGATCGCGTCACACTCAAGGTCCAAGGACCACTCAGTGGCCAAAACGACTTTTAATCATGTGGATTTTCGGGTTATCTTTGGCGCCTCCTAGAACGTAAACCGTGGGGTGCAGCATCATGATTTTTACAACTTTGAATGGCCATGGGGTGTAGATTGGCCTGACCAAATTTGGTGTTGGTGGGACGAAAGCCTTAGGAGGAGTTAGCCACATTCCAATGTATGCGAATCGGCAAAAAATGCGAAATAGCCCTTTAACCGTAAATTTTACAGATACTTGCACATTTAGTTTTTCGTAGATCTTATTGAGATACATGTGTGTGTCAAACCTTGTGTCCAAATGACAAAGCGTAAGGGCGTGACACCCAATAATGTATATTTTCACCTTAGGAGACAAGAAAAAATTGACTTTTTTCTCTTGCCATAGGGGGGCGCTCTTTTAGGGAGTAAAAATTCCTTCACAAATGTGTTGATGGCTGGACATTGCATCATCCTAGAAAACTTGGAGGCCAGTGAGGACAAAAATAAAAAGTTATAAGACTTTTAAGAATGTGGATTTTTGGGTTATCTTTGGCGCCCCCTAGAACCTAAACCGTGGGGTGCAGCCTCATGATTTGTACAACTTTTAATGGCCATGGGGTGTAGATTGGCCTGTGCAAATTTGGTGCCGGTAGAACAAAAGCCTTCGGAGGAGTTAGCGAAATTCCAATGTGTGCGGATCGGCAAAAAATGCGAAATAGCCCTTTAACCGTACATTATACAGATACGCGCTCTTTGACTTTTTCGTAGATCTTATTGAGATACACGTGTGTGTCAAATTTTGTGTCAATATGACAAAGCATTCAGGCGTGACACTCAATGTGTATTTTCATGTTAGGGGACAAGAAAAAATGGACTTTTTTCTCCTGCCATGGGGGGGCGCTCTTTTGGGGAGTAAAAATTTCTTCACAAATGTGTTGATGGCTGGACATTGCATCATCCTAGAAAACTTGGAGGCCAGTGAGGACAAAAATAAAAAGTTATAAGACTTTTAAGAATGTGGATTTTTGGGTTATCTTTGGCGCCCCCTAGAACCTAAACCGTGGGGTGCAGCCTCATGATTTGTACAACTTTTAATGGCCATGGGGTGTAGATTGGCCTGAGCAAATGTGGTGCCGGTGGAACGATAGCCTTCGGAGGAGTTAGCGAAATTCCAATGTGTGCGGATCGGCAAAAAATGCGAAATAACCCTTTAACGGTACATTTGACAGATACGCCCGCACTGACTTTTTTGTAGATCTTATTGAGATACATATGTGTGTCAAATTTTGTGTCATTTTGACAAAGCGTACAGGCGTCAGGTGAGTTTTCACCATAGGGGGCGCTATGGAGCCATTTTTCATTTTTTTGTTTGGGTGACTTCAGAATATCGAATTTTTCACCAGGCCCGGTCGTCCTGCCAAATTTCCTGAGTTTTCGCCAGTGGGAAGTGGGCCATTTTCCAGTTTAAAGCGGAGGAAAAATAACGAAAGAAGAATCCATCAGGAACAAGAGGGCTCTCGCAGCTGCTTAGCAGCTACGCTCGGGCCCTAATAATAATAACACTAGGACCCCGTTGGGGCACTGGCGGGCCCGAGCCGTGTCGCCCCCCCCCCCCCAACGTGCTGCCTCCCCGTCCCATTTGTGTCCTCTGGCCATCGCCCTCTCTGGTAACGCCCATCACTGCAAAGTCCCTTTTCCTTCATCGGCGTTTGCTGTTCTTCCTGCCAGTGCGTGTTGCTTTCACTTACACTTGCCACAGCCAGCCTCGTGAGTGCCTAGCCTATTCGATATCACTGTCACCTACACAGGACAGTCATTACCTTTCTATTAATACTTTGTGTTTTAATTTCACATTAATTTCCATATTGTATAAACGACTGGAAAAAACTTGAGCCCCTGCCCCTGTATAATCATGTGCATGTCTCTGTTCTAGCTCCAAGGTGAATCTTCACTGCTCATGTTCTCCTCAGAAGCACTCACCTCACTCCCCTCAGGTTACTGTACACATGCACCAACTGCCTGCTTCAGGTTTGGATGGAGCTTCATGGTTGTCTTTTGGAGAAATGACCAGTCAAGTTGTGTTTGAAATTTGATTTTTTTCAGGGGCAAAAGGAGCCTCTGCATTCTTGTCAAATATGTAAATAGCATGTTTTTGCAGGTGCTAAAAACCAGACTCTGAGTGTGTGTGTGTGTGTGTGTGTGTGTGTGTGCGTGTGTGTGTGTCTGTGTGTGCGTTCAAGTCACATGACATATTTAACCGGATGTAGCTGCAAGACGGAGCCTCGTTGACTCTCCGTTTCAACTTATCTCAAAAGTGAGGACCTCAACCTATATACCAGTTTTTAAATTTTGTTGATAGGCCAAATAAAACCAGAGTTATGATAAATTATGTCCGCGATACTTTTTTTCTGCTTATTTTGATCACGTTCGGCGCTCGATCGCGCTGTATGAGACAGGAAAACATAGCATGCAGACATTAGCGACAGGTCTTACAGGCGGAAAAGGCTTGCCAAAAGAAAACAAAAACACACCACAACATCTCTCCTATTGGTGTAAAACTTCACCACAACAACCAATCCAAAATTATATGGTGACTGATTGACAAGGGGCGGGCGCTTACGTTCTTCCTGCAACATGAGAAGGGAGGGAGGGACTCTCAGCAGGGATGCAGTCTGGGACACGTAGTTGCAAACCTAGCGACTTTGTTGTTAGATTCAATGACTTTTCAGACCCCCTAACGACTTTTTTTTAGAAAGAAAGGGACTTTTATCGACTTCTTCTGGAGTTTAGAGACTCTGACATGAAGCAGGCTTTCCTTACTGAGGAGTTAGCAACGCTGCTAAGGGTGCAGAGCCACACATGCGCTCAGAGCTCTGCATGGGAGACTGAAGCTGACAGAGCTGCAGCAGTTAGCAGGTTTCACCCTCAGAGACCACCAGGGGTTCATGTTGAGGCATTTTAATTTTTTTTTTTTTTGTGCCATAGACACTGTCAGCACAATCTGCAGTTACACTAACAAAAATGCTGCAAAAAACAAAGAATTATGGAAAAATTACACATGGACTGACATAGAGGAGGATCTACACAAGTTTTTTACATCATGTTTTACATCATGCATCATTTACATCATGTTTTTTTGTGGTGGCATAAATAAAAAGTGACATTTGTGAGACTATACAGTGTTTTGTAAATAATTTTACAAAGAACGCCTGGGCCATTGCCTGCATTTTGATGTAAATAGAGGTAAATCACTATGTTCTTTGTTAAAAATTTGCATATGTTTTGAAGTTTACAATTTTTATTTGAAGTTTAAGTTTTAAAAACAGTTCATCACACATATTTGTGGTTTTCACAGTAAAAATGTTACTTTTTTCCACTCTGATTTTATGTTTTGTGTGTGAATTTGGGTCCATTGTGTAAATTCAGTATGTCAACATGATAAAATAACTGTAAATTCGCACAGGTGAGGTTGTGCTGAAAAAAATGATACCAGGCAAGGCACGTGATTTTCAAATTTTGTGTCAATATGACAAAGCGTATAGGCGTGAATCTCAACAATATGTATTTTCACCTTAGGGGACAAGAAAAAATGGACTTTTTTCTCCTGCCATGGGGGGGCGCTCTTTTGGGGAGTAAAAATTCCTTCATAAATGTGTTGATGGCTGGACATTGCATCATCCTAGAAAACTTGGAGGCCAGTGAGGACAAAAATAAAAAGTTATAAGACTTTTAAATATGTGGATTTTAGGGTTATCTTTGGCGCCCCCTAGAACCTAAACCGTGGGGTGCAGCGTCATGATTTGAATAACTTTTAATGGCCATGGGGTGTAGATTGGCCTGAGCAAATGTGGTGCCAGTGGAACGAAAGCCTTAGGAGGAGTTAGCGAAATTCCAATGTGTGCGAATCGGCAAAAAATGCAAAATAGCCCTTTTACCGTACATTATACAGATACGCGCTCTTGACTTTTTCGTAGATCTAATTGAGATACACATGATTGTCAATTTTTGTGTCATTTTGCCAAAGCGTACAGGCGTGACAGTCAACAATGTGTATTTTCACCTTAGGGGACAAGAAAAAATGGACTTTTTTCTCCTGCCATGGGGGGGCGCTCTTTTAGGGAGTAAAAATTCCTTCACAAATGTGTTGATGGCTGGACATTGCATCATCCTAGAAAACTTGGAGGCCAGTGAGGACAAAAATAAAAAGTTATAAGACTTTTAAAAATGTGGATTTTTGGGTTATCTTTGGCGCCCCCTAGAACGTAAACCGTGGGGTGCAGCGTCATGATTTGAATAACTTTTAATGGCCACGGGGTGTAGATTGGCCTGAGCAAATGTGGTGCTGGTGGAACGAAAGCCTTCGGAGGAGTTAGCGAAATTCCAATGTGTGCGGATTAGCAAAAAATGCGGAATAACCCTTTAACCGTACATTTGACAGATACGCGCGCATTGACTTTTTTGTAGATCTAATTGAGATACATGTGTGTGTCAATTTTTGTGTCATTTTGACAAAGCGTACAGGCGTGACACTCAACAATGTGTATTTTCACCTTAGGGGACAAGAAAAAATGGACTTTTTTCTCCTGCCATGGGGGGGCGCTCTTTTGGGGAGTAAAAATTCCTTCACAAATGTGTTGATGGCTGGACATTGCATCATCCTAGAAAACTTGGAGGCCAGTGAGGACAAAAATAAAAAGTTATAAGACTTTTAAAAATGTAGATTTTTGGGTTATCTTTGGCGCCCCCTAGAACGTAAACCGTGGGGTGCAGCATCATGATTTGAATAACTTTTAATGGCCATGGGGTGTAGATTGGCCTGAGCAAATGTGGTGCTGGTGGAACGAAAGCCTTCGGAGGAGTTAGCGAAATTCCAATGTGTGCGGATTAGCAAAAAATGCGGAATAACCCTTTAACCGTACATTTGACAGATACGCGCGCATTGACTTTTTTGTAGATCTTATTGAGATACATGTGTGTGTCAATTTTTGTGTCATTTTGACAAAGCGTACAGGCGTGACACTCAACAATGTGTATTTTCACCTTAGGGGACAAGAAAAAATGGACTTTTTTCTCCTGCCATGGGGGGGGGCGCTCTTTTGGGGAGTAAAAATTCCTTCACAAATGTGTTGATGGCTGGACATTGCATCATCCTAGAAAACTTGGAGGCCAGTGAGGGCAAAAATAAAAAGTTATAAGACTTTTAAATATGTGGATTTTAGGGTTATCTTTGGCGCCCCCTAGAACCTAAACCGTGGGGTGCAGCGTCATGATTTGAATAACTTTTAATGGCCATGGGGTGTAGATTGGCCTGAGCAAATGTGGTGCCGGTGGAACAAAAGCCTTTGGAGGAGTTAGCGAAATTCCAATGTGTGCGGATCGGCAAAAAATGCGAAATAGCCCTTTAACCGTACATTTGACAGATACGCCCGCACTGACTTTTTTGTAGATCTTATTGAGATACATGTGTGTGTCAATTTTTGTGTCATTTTGACAAAGCGTACAGGCGTGACAGTCAATAGTGTGAATTTTCACCTTAGGGGGCGCTATGGAGCCATTTTGCATTTTCTTGTTTGGGCGACTTCGGAATATCAAATTTTTCACCAGGCCCGGTCGTCCTGCCAAATTTCATGAGTTTTCGCCAGTGGGAAGTGGGCCATTTTCCAGTTCAAAGGGGAGGAAAAAGAAACTAGGGCCCCGGTGGGGCACTGGCGGGCCCGAGCCGTGTCACGCCGCCCCCAGCGCGACCGCCTCCCCCACCCGATCGCGTCACACTCAAGGTCCAAAGATGGTGTGCGCACTTGTTTGTGGTCATTTACCATTATAATGAACGGGAGGCGCAGTTTCTACCAAAACGCTCGCTGCAGAAAAACTCCATGTCCTATTTGAAAAAAGTCTGGACCATGAGTGAGGGCACAAACACAGCTAAGATATATCCAAATGGCAAGTTGCTCCTCCTTTCGCTTTTGCCGAGAGAGCAGTGCGTTTGAGCCATTGAATGATGAACAGGAAAAACTTGACTTTATTCTCCTGCCATGGGGGGGCGCTCTTTTAAAGAGAAAAAACTCCTTCACAAATGTGTTGATGGCTGGACATTGCATCATCCTAGAAAACATGGAGGCCAGTGAGGACAAAAATAAAAAGTTATAAGACTTTTAAATATGTGGATTTTAGGGTTATATTTGGCGCCCCCTAGAACCTAAACCGTGGGGTGCAGCGTCATGATTTGAATAACTTTTAATGGCCATGGGGTGTAGATTGGCCTGAGCAAATGTGGTGCCGGTGGAACGAAAGCCTTCGGAGGAATTAGCGAAATTCCAATGTGTGCGAATCTGCAAAAAATGCGAAATAACCCTTTAACCGTACATTTTACAGATACGTGGCCATTGACTTTTTCGAAGATCTTATGTAAATACACATGTATGTAAAATTTTGTGTCAATACGACAAAACATACAGGCGTAGCACTCAACAATGTGTATTTCCACCTTAGTGGACAAGAAAAAATTGACTTTTTTCTCCTGCCATGGGGGGGCGCTCTTTTGCCGAGTAAAAATTCCTTCACAAATGTGTTGATGGCTGGACATTGCATCATCCTAGAAAACTTGGAGGCCAGTGGGGACAAAAATAAAAAGTTATAAGACTTTTAAATATGTGGATTTTACGGTTATCTTTGGCTCCCCCTAGAACCTAAACCGTGGGGTGCAGCGTCATGATTTTAATAACTTTTAATGGCCATGGGGTGTAGATTGGCCTGAGCAAATGTGGTGCCGGTGGAACGAAAGCCTTCGGAGGAGTTAGCGAAATTCCAATGTGTGCGGATCGGCAAAAAATGCGGAATAACCCTTTAACCGTACATTTGACAGATACGCGCGCATTGACTTTTTCGTAGATCTTATTGAGATACATGTGTGTGTCAATTTTTGTGTCATTTTGCCAAAGCGTACAGGTGTTAAACTCAACAATGTGTATTTTCACCTTAGGGGACAAGAAAAAATGGACTTTTTTCTCCTGCCATGGGGGGGCGCTCTTTTGGGGAGTAAAAATTCCTTCACAAATGTGTTGATGGCTGGACATTGCATCATCCTAGAAAACTTGGAGGCCAGTGAGGGCAAAAATAAAAAGTTATAAGACTTTTAAATATGTGGATCTTAGGGTTATCTTTGGCGCCCCCTAGAACCTAAACCGTGGGGTGCAGCGTCATGATTTGAATAACTTTTAATGGCCATGGGGTGTAGATTGGCCTGAGCAAATGTGGTGCCGGTGGAACGAAAGCCTTCGGAGGAGTTAGCGAAATTCCAATGTGTGCGGATCGGCAAAAAATGCGAAATAACCCTTTAACCGTACATTTGACAGATACGCCCGCACTGACTTTTTTGTAGATCTTATTGAGATACATGTGTGTGTCAATTTTTGTGTCATTTTGACAAAGCGTACCGGCGTGACAGTGAATAGTGTGAATTTTCACCTTAGGGGGCGCTATGGAGCCATTTTGCATTTTCTTGTTTGGGCGACTTCGGAATATCAAATTTTTCACCAGGCCCGGTCGTCCTGCCAAATCTCATGAGTTTTCGCCAGTGGGAAGTGGGCCATTTTCCAGTTCAAAGGGGAGGAAAAATAACTAGGGCCCCGGTGGGGCACTGTCGGGCCCGAGCCGCGTCGCGCCGCCCCCAGCGCGACCACCTCCCCCTCCCGATCGCGTCACACTCAAGGTCCAAAGATGGTGTGCGCACTTGTCTGTGGTCATTTCCCATTATAATGAATGGGAGGCGCAGTTTCTACCAAAACACTCGCTGCAGACAAACTACATATCCTATTTGAAAAAAGTCTGGACCATGAGTGAGGGCACAAACACAGCTAGGATATATCCAAACGGCAAGTTGCTCCTCGTTACGGTGTTGCCGGGAGAGCGATGCGATTGAGCCATTGAGTGATGGGCAGGAAAAACTTGACTGTTTCTCCTGCCATGGGGGATGGGGGATGGGGGATGGGGGGGGGGGGGGGATTTGGATTCTTTTAAGAATGTGGATATTTGGGTCATCTTTGGCGCCCCCTAGAACGTAAACCGTGGGGTGCACCGTCATGATTTTTACAACTTTGAATGGCCATGGGGTGTAGATTGGCCTGAGCAAATTTGGTGTCAGTGGGATGAAAGCCTTAGGAGGAGTTAGCCACATTCCAATGTGTGCGAATCGGCAAAAAATGCAAAATAGCCCTTTAACCGTACATTTGACAGATACGCGTGCATTGACTTTTTCGTAGATGTTATTGAGACACACGTGATTGTCAAATTTTGTGTCAATATGACAAAGCGTATAGGCGTGAATCTCAACAATATGTATTTTCACCTTAGGGGACAAGAAAAAATGGACTTTTTTCTCCTGCCATGGGGGGGCGCTCTTTTGGGGAGTAAAAATTCCTTCACAAATGTATTGATGGCTGGACATTGCATCATCCTAGAAAACTTGGAGGCCAGTGAGGACAAAAATAAAAAGTTATAAGACTTTTAAATATGTGGATTTTAGGGTTATCTTTAGCGCCCCCTAGAACCTAAACCGTGGGGTGCAGCGTCATGATTTGAATAACTTTTAATGGCCATGGGGTGTAGATTGGCCTGAGCAAATGTGGTGCCGGTGGAACGAAAGCCTTAGGAGGAGTTAGCCACATTCCAATGTGTGCGGATCGGCAAAAAATGCGGAATAACCCTTTAACCGTACATTTGACAGATACGCGCGCATTGACTTTTTCGTAGATCTTATTGAGTTACATGTGTGTGTCAATTTTTGTGTCATTTTGACAAAGCGTATAGGCGTGACACTCAACAATGTGTATTTTCACCTTAGGGGACAAGAAAAAATTGACTTTTTTCTTCTCCCATGGGGGGGCGCTCTTTTGGGGAGTAAAAATTCCTTCACAAATGTGTTGATGGCTGGACATTGCATCATCCTAGAAAACTTGGAGGCCAGTGAGGACAAAAATAAAAAGTTATAAGACTTTTAAATATGTGGATTTTAGTGTTATCTTTGGCGCCCCCTAGAACCTAAACCTTGGGGTGCAGCGTCATGATTTTGATAACTTTTAATGGCCACGGGGTGTAGATTGGCCTGAGCAAATGTGGTGCCGGTGGAACGAAAGCCTGCATGTTTTTGCAGGTGCTAAAAACCAGACTCTGAGTGTGTGTGTGTGTGTGTGTATGTGTGTGTGCGTGTGTGTGTCTGTGTGTGCGTTCAAGTCACATGACATATTTAACCGGATGTAGCTGCAAGACGGAGCCTCGTTGACTCTCCGTTTCAACTTATCTCAACCTATATACCAGTTTTTAAATTGTGTTGATAGGCCAAATAAAACCAGAGTTATGATAAATTATGTCCGCGATACTTTTTTTCTGCTTATTTTGATCACGTTCGGCGCTCGATCGCGCTGTATGAGACAGGAAAACATAGCATGCAGACATTAGCGACAGGTCTTACAGGCGGAAAAGGCTTGCCAAAAAAAAAAAAAACACACCACAACATCTCTCCTATTGGTGGAAAACTTCACCACAACAACCAATCCAAAATTATATGGTGACTGATTGACAAGGGGCGGGCGCTTACGTTCTTCCTGCAACATGAGAAGGGAGGGAGGGACTCTCAGCAGGGATGCAGTCTGGGACACGTAGTTGCAAACCTAGCGACTTTGTTGTTAGATTCAATGACTTTTCAGACCCCCTAACGACTTTGTTTTAGAAAGAAAGGGACTTTTATCGACTTCTTCTGGAGTTTAGAGACTCTGACATGAAGCAGGCTTTCCTTACTGAGGAGTTAGCAACGCTGCTAAGGGTGCAGAGCCACACATGCGCTCAGAGCTCTGCATGGGAGACTGAAGCTGACAGAGCTGCAGCAGTTAGCAGGTTTCACCCTCAGAGACCACCAGGGGTTCATGTTGAGGCATTTTAATTTTTTTTTTTTTTTTGTGCCATAGAAACTGTCAGCACAATCTGCACTTACACTAACAAAAATGCTGCAAAAAACAAAGAATTATGGAAAAATTACACATGGACTGACATAGAGGAGGATCTACACAAGTTTTTTACATCATGTTTTACATCATGCATCATTTACATCATGTTTTTTTGTAGTGGCATAAATAAAAAGTGACATTTGTGAGACTATACAGTGTTTTGTAAATAATTTTACAAAGAACGCCTGGGCCATTGCCTGCATTTTGATGTAAATAGAGGTAAATCACTATGTTCTTTGTTAAAAATTTGCATATGTTTTGAAGTTTACAATTTTTATTTGAAGTTTAAGTTTTAAAAACAGTTCATCACACATATTTGTGGTTTTCACAGTAAAAATGTTACTTTTTTCCACTCGGATTTTATGTTTTGTGTGTGAATTTGGGTCCATTGTGTAAATTCAGTATGTCAACATGATAAAATAACTGTAAATTCGCACAGGTGAGGTTGTGCTGAAAAAAATGATACCAGGCAAGGCACGTGATTGTCAAATTTTGTGTCAATATGACAAAGCGTATAGGCGTGAATCTCAACAATATGTATTTTCACCTTAGGGGACAAGAAAAAATGGACTTTTTTCTCCTGCCATGGGGGGGGGGCGCTCTTTTGGGGAGTAAAAATTCCTTCAAAAATGTGTTGATGGCTGGACATTGCATCATCCTAGAAAACTTGGAGGCCAGTGAGGACAAAAATAAAAAGTTATAAGACTTTTAAATATGTGGATTTTAGGGTTGTCTTTGGCGCCCCCTAGAACCTAAACCGTGGGGTGCAGCGTCATGATTTGAATAACTTTTAATGGCCATGGGGTGTAGATTGGCCTGAGCAAATGTGGTGCCGGTGGACAGAAAGCCTTCGGAGGAGTTAGCGAAATTCCAATGTGTGCGGATCGGCAAAAAATGCGGAATAACCCTTTAACCTACATTTGACAGATACGCGCGCATTGACTTTTTCGTAGATCTTATTGAGTTACATGTGTGTGTCAAATTTTGTGTCAATATGACAAAGCGTATAGGCGTGAATCTCAACAATATGTATTTTCACCTTAGGGGACAAGAAAAAATGGACTTTTTTCTCCTGCCATGGGGGGGGCGCTCTTTTGGGGAGTAAAAATTCCTTCACAAATGTGTTGATGGCTGGACATTGCATCATCCTAGAAAACTTGGAGGCCAGTGAGGACAAAAATAAAAAGTTATAAGACTTTTAAATATGTGGATTTTAGGGTTATCTTTGGCGCCCCCTAGAACCTAAACCGTGGGGTGCAGCGTCATGATTTTGATAACTTTTAATGGCCACGGGGTGTAGATTGGCCTGAGCAAATGTGGTGCCGGTGGACAGAAAGCCTTAGGAGGAGTTAGCCACATTCCAATGTGTGCGGATCGGCAAAAAATGCGGAATAACCCTTTAACCGTACATTTGACAGATACGCGCGCATTGACTTTTTCGTAGATCTTATTGAGTTACATGTGTGTGTCAATTTTTGTGTCATTTTGACAAAGCGTATAGGCGTGACACTCAACAATGTGTATTTTCACCTTAGGGGACAAGAAAAAATGGACTTTTTTCTCCTGCCATGGGGGGGCGCTCTTTTGGGGAGTAAAAATTCCTTCACAAATGTGTTGATGGCTGGACATTGCATCATCCTAGAAAACTTGGAGGCCAGTGAGGACAAAAATAAAAAGTTATAAGACTTTTAAATATGTGGATTTTAGTGTTATCTTTGGCGCCCCCTAGAACCTAAACCTTGGGGTGCAGCGTCATGATTTTGATAACTTTTAATGGCCACGGGGTGTAGATTGGCCTGAGCAAATGTGGTGCCGGTGGAACGAAAGCCTGCATGTTTTTGCAGGTGCTAAAAACCAGACTCTGAGTGTGTGTGTGTGTGTGTGTATGTGTGTGTGCGTGTGTGTGTGTCTGTGTGTGCGTTCAAGTCACATGACATATTTAACCGGATGTAGCTGCAAGACGGAGCCTCGTTGACTCTCCGTTTCAACTTATCTCAACCTATATACCAGTTTTTAAATTGTGTTGATAGGCCAAATAAAACCAGAGTTATGATAAATTATGTCCGCGATACTTTTTTTCTGCTTATTTTGATCACGTTCGGCGCTCGATCGCGCTGTATGAGACAGGAAAACATAGCATGCAGACATTAGCGACAGGTCTTACAGGCGGAAAAGGCTTGCCAAAAGAAAAAAAAACACACCACAACATCTCTCCTATTGGTGGAAAACTTCACCACAACAACCAATCCAAAATTATATGGTGACTGATTGACAAGGGGCGGGCGCTTACGTTCTTCCTGCAACATGAGAAGGGAGGGAGGGACTCTCAGCAGGGATGCAGTCTGGGACACGTAGTTGCAAACCTAGCGACTTTGTTGTTAGATTCAATGACTTTTCAGACCCCCTAACGACTTTGTTTTAGAAAGAAAGGGACTTTTATCGACTTCTTCTGGAGTTTAGAGACTCTGACATGAAGCAGGCTTTCCTTACTGAGGAGTTAGCAACGCTGCTAAGGGTGCAGAGCCACACATGCGCTCAGAGCTCTGCATGGGAGACTGAAGCTGACAGAGCTGCAGCAGTTAGCAGGTTTCACCCTCAGAGACCACCAGGGGTTCATGTTGAGGCATTTTAATTTTTTTTTTTTTTTTGTGCCATAGAAACTGTCAGCACAATCTGCACTTACACTAACAAAAATGCTGCAAAAAACAAAGAATTATGGAAAAATTACACATGGACTGACATAGAGGAGGATCTACACAAGTTTTTTACATCATGTTTTACATCATGCATCATTTACATCATGTTTTTTTGTAGTGGCATAAATAAAAAGTGACATTTGTGAGACTATACAGTGTTTTGTAAATAATTTTACAAAGAACGCCTGGGCCATTGCCTGCATTTTGATGTAAATAGAGGTAAATCACTATGTTCTTTGTTAAAAATTTGCATATGTTTTGAAGTTTACAATTTTTATTTGAAGTTTAAGTTTTAAAAACAGTTCATCACACATATTTGTGGTTTTCACAGTAAAAATGTTACTTTTTTCCACTCTGATTTTATGTTTTGTGTGTGAATTTGGGTCCATTGTGTAAATTCAGTATGTCAACATGATAAAATAACTGTAAATTCGCACAGGTGAGGTTGTGCTGAAAAAAAATGATACCAGGCAAGGCACGTGATTGTCAAATTTTGTGTCAATATGACAAAGCGTATAGGCGTGAATCTCAACAATATGTATTTTCACCTTAGGGGACAAGAAAAAATGGACTTTTTTCTCCTGCCATGGGGGGGGGCGCTCTTTTGGGGAGTAAAAATTCCTTCACAAATGTGTTGATGGCTGGACATTGCATCATCCTAGAAAACTTGGAGGCCAGTGAGGACAAAAATAAAAAGTTATAAGACTTTTAAATATGTGGATTTTAGGGTTGTCTTTGGCGCCCCCTAGAACCTAAACCGTGGGGTGCAGCGTCATGATTTGAATAACTTTTAATGGCCATGGGGTGTAGATTGGCCTGAGCAAATGTGGTGCCGGTGGACAGAAAGCCTTCGGAGGAGTTAGCGAAATTCCAATGTGTGCGGATCGGCAAAAAATGCGGAATAACCCTTTAACCGTACATTTGACAGATACGCGCGCATTGACTTTTTCGTAGATCTTATTGAGTTACATGTGTGTGTCAAATTTTGTGTCAATATGACAAAGCGTATAGGCGTGAATCTCAACAATATGTATTTTCACCTTAGGGGACAAGAAAAAATGGACTTTTTTCTCCTGCCATGGGGGGGCGCTCTTTTGGGGAGTAAAAATTCCTTCACAAATGTGTTGATGGCTGGACATTGCATCATCCTAGAAAACTTGGAGGCCAGTGAGGACAAAAATAAAAAGTTATAAGACTTTTAAATATGTGGATTTTAGGGTTATCTTTGGCGCCCCCTAGAACCTAAACCGTGGGGTGCAGCGTCATGATTTTGATAACTTTTAATGGCCATGGGGTGTAGATTGGCCTGAGCAAATGTGGTGCCGGTGGACAGAAAGCCTTAGGAGGAGTTAGCCACATTCCAATGTGTGCGGATCGGCAAAAAATGCGGAATAACCCTTTAACCGTACATTTGACAGATACGCGCGCATTGACTTTTTCGTAGATCTTATTGAGTTACATGTGTGTGTCAATTTTTGTGTCATTTTGACAAAGCGTATAGGCGTGACACTCAACAATGTGTATTTTCACCTTAGGGGACAAGAAAAAATGGACTTTTTTCTCCTGCCATGGGGGGGCGCTCTTTTGGGGAGTAAAAATTCCTTCACAAATGTGTTGATGGCTGGACATTGCATCATCCTAGAAAACTTGGAGGCCAGTGAGGACAAAAATAAAAAGTTATAAGACTTTTAAATATGTGGATTTTAGTGTTATCTTTGGCGCCCCCTAGAACCTAAACCTTGGGGTGCAGCGTCATGATTTTGATAACTTTTAATGGCCACGGGGTGTAGATTGGCCTGAGCAAATGTGGTGCCGGTGGAACGAAAGCCTTCGGAGGAGTTAGCGAAATTCCAATGTGTGCGGATCGGCAAAAAATGCGAAATAACCCTTTAACCGTAATTTTGACAGATACGGCCGCACTGACTTTTTTGTAGATCTTATTGAGATACATGTGTGTGTCAATTTTTGTGTCATTTTGACAAAGCGTACAGTCGTGACAGTGAATAGTGTGAATTTTCACCTTAGGGGGCGCTATGGAGCCATTTTGCATTTTATTGTTTTGGCGACTTCAGAATATCAAATTTTTCACCAGGCCCGGTCTTCCTGCCAAATTTCATGAGTTTTCGCCAGTGGGAAGTGGGCCATTTTCCAGTTCAAAGGGGAGGAAAAAGAAAAAAGAAAGAAAGAAACAAAGAAAAACCACTTGGGGAATAATAGGGCCTACGCCCGGCTGCTCTGCAGCTGGCTCGGGCCCTAATAACTAGGACCCCGTTGGGGCACTGGCGGGCCCGAGCTGTGTCGCGTCCCCCCCCCCAACGCGCTGCCTCCCCGTCCCATTTGTGTCCTCTGGCCATCGCCCTCTCTGGTAACGCCCATCACTGCAAAGACCCTTTTCCTTCATCGGCGTTTGCTGTTCTTCCTGCCAGTGCGTGTTGCTTTCACTTACACTTGCCACAGCCAGCCTCGTGAGTGCCTAGCCTATTGGATATCACTGTCACCTACACAGGACAGTCATTACCTTTCTATTAATACTTTGTTTTTTAATTTCACATTAATTTCCATATTGTATAAACAACTGGAAAAAACTTGAGCCCCTGCCCCTGTATAATCATGTGCACGTCTCTGTTCTAGCTCTAAGGTGAATCTTCACTGCTCATGTTCTCCTCAGAAGCAGTCACCTCACTCCCCTCAGGTTACTGTACACATGCACCAACTGCCTGCTTCAGGTTTGGATGGAGCTTCATGGTTGTCTTTTGGAGAAATGACCAGTCAAGTTGTGTTTGAAATTTGATTTTTTTCAGGGGCAAAAGGAGCCTCTGCATTCTTGTCAAATATGTAACTAGCATGTTTTTGCAGGTGCTAAAAACCAGACTCTGAGTGTGTGTGTGTGCGTGTGTGTGTGTGTGTGTGTGTGTGTGTGTGTGTGTGTGTGTGTGTGTGCGTTCAAGTCACATGACATATTTAACCGGATGTAGCTGCAAGACGGAGCCTCGTTGACTCTCCGTTTCAATTTATCTCAAAAGTGAGGACCTCAACCTATATACCAGTTTTTAAATTGTGTTGATAGGCCAAATAAAACCAGAGTTATGATAAATTATGTCCACGATACTTGTTTTCTGCTTATTTTGATCACGTTCGGCGCTCGATCGCGTTGTATGAGACAGGAAAACATAGCATGCAGACATTAGCGACAGGTCTTACAGGCGGAAAAGGCTTGCCAAAGGAAAAAAAAAACACACCACAACATCTCTCCTATTGGTGGAAAACTTCACCACAACAACCAATCCAAAATTATATGGTGACTGATTGACAAGGGGCGGGAACTTACGTTCTTCCTGCAATATGAGAAGGGAGGGAGGGACTCTCAGCAGGGATGCAGTCTGGGACACGTAGTTGCAAACCTAGCGACTTTGTTGTTAGATTCAATGACTTTTCAGACCCCCTAACGACTTTTTTAGAAAGAAAGTGACTTTTATCGACTTCTTCTGGAGTTTAGAGACTCTGACATGAAGCAGGCTTTCCTTACTGAGGAGTTAGCAACGCTGCTAAGGGTGCAGAGCCACACATGTGCTCCGAGCTCTGCATGGGAGACTGAAGCTGACAGAGCTGCAGCAGTTAGCAGGTTTCACCCTCAGAGACCACCAGGGGTTCATGTTGAGGCATTTTCAGTTTTTTTTTTTTTTTGCCATAGACACTGTCAGCACAATCTGCAGTTACACTAACAAAAATGCTGCAAAAAACAAAGAATTATGGAAAAATTACACATGGACTAACATAGAGGAGGATCTACACATGTTTTTTACATCATGTTTTACATCATGCATCATTTACATCATGTTTTTTGGTAGTGGCATAAATAAAAAGTGACATTTGTGAGACTATACAGTGTTTTGTAAATAATTTTACAAAGAACACCTGGGCCATTGCCTGCATTTTGATGTAAATAGAGGTAAATTACTATGTTCTTTGTTAAAAATTTGCATATGTTTTGAAGTTTACAATTTTTATTTGAAGTTTAAGTTTTAAAAACAGTTCATCACACATATTTGTGGTTTTCACAGTAAAAACGTTACTTTTTTCCACTCGGATTTTATGTTTTGTGTGTGAATTTGGGTCCAATGTGTAAATATAGTATGTCAAAATGATAAAATAACTGTAAATTGACACAGGTGAGGTTGTGCTGAAAAAAATGATACCAGGCAAGGCAAGGTAAAAATTTTGTAAGAGGAAATATAAAGGTAAAATCTAAAGTAGTCAAAAACGGCCAATAGTGACTCACAGACTCCACAGACAAGTCCCTTTGGCGCCACTCAGTGGGCAAAACTACTTTGTCTACTGTAATGTATATTTGGGTCATCTTTGGCGCCCCCTAAAACGTAAACCGTGGGGTGCAGCGTCATGATTTTTACAACTTTGAATGGCCATGGAGTGTAGATTGGCCTGAGCAAATTTGGTGTCAGTGGGACGAAAGCCTTAGGAGGAGTTAGCGAAATTCCAATGTGTGCGAATCGGCAAAAAATGCAAAATAGCCCTTTTACCGTACATTATACAGATACGCGCTCTTTGACTTTTTCGTAGATCTAATTGAGATACACATGATTGTCAATTTTTGTGTCATTTTGCCAAAGCGTACAGGCGTGACAGTCAACAATGTGTATTTTCACCTTAGGGGACAAAAAAAATGGACTTTTTTCTCCTGCCATGGGGGGGCGCTCTTTTGGGGAGTAAAAATTTCTTCCGAAATGTGTTGATGGCTGGACATTGCATCATCCTAGAAAACTTGGAGGCCAGTGAGGACAAAAATAAAAAGTTATAAGACTTTTAAAAATGTGGATTTTTGGGTTATCTTTGGCGCCCCCTAGAACGTAAACCGTGGGGTGCAGCGTCATGATTTGAATAACTTTTAATGGCCATGGGGTGTAATTTGGCCTGAGCAAATGTGGTGCCGGTGGAACGAAAGCCTTCGGAGGAGTTAGCGAAATTCCAATGTGTGCGAATCGGCAAAAAATGCGGAATAACCCTTTAACCGTACATTAGACAGATACGCGCGCATGGACTTTTTTGTAGATCTTATTGAGATACATGTGTGTGTCAATTTTTGTGTCATTTTGACAAAGCGTACAGGCGTGACACTCAACAATGTGTATTTTCACCTTAGGGGACAAGAAAAAAATTGACTTTTTTCTCCTGCCATGGGGGGGCGCTCTTTTGGGGAGTAAAAATTCCTTCACAAATGTGTTGATGGCTGGACATTGCATCATCCTAGAAAACTTGGAGGCCAGTGAGGGCAAAAATAAAAAGTTATAAGACTTTTAAAAATGTGGATTTTAGGGTTATCTTTGGCGCCCCCTAGAACCTAAACCATGGGGTGCAGCGTCATGATTTGAATAACTTTTAATGGCCATGGGGTGTAGATTGGCCTGAGCAAATGTGGTGCCGGTGGAACGAAAGCCTTCGGAGGAGTTAGCGAAATTCCAATGTGTGCGGATCGGCAAAAAATGCGAAATAACCCCTTAACCGTACATTTGACAGATACGCCCGCACTGACTTTTTTGTAGATCTTATTGAGATACATGTGTGTGTCAATTTTTGTGTCATTTTGACAAAGCGTACAGGCGTGACAGTCAATAGTGTGAATTTTCACCTTAGGGGGCGCTATGGAGCCATTT